TTCAGTGTTTGCGCAACAAGTTTAATTTGTTGGAAGCGTTTCTGCAAGATAATGACATTCAAATAGTTGGCATCAGTGAACATTGGCTATCAGGACGTGAATTAACAAACGGGTTAAGTCTTGGTGACTGGAAAATGTCGTCTGCATTTAGTAGATCACTTAAAATCCATGGTGGTGTTTTGATTTTAACAAAATCACTTACGTGCGATCCAGTTGTCGAAGTTAATAACATGGCAATAGAAGTGCATTGTGAAGTAACTGCTGTTTTGTGCAGAGACTATAATCTCGTGGTCACAGTAGTCTACAGATCACCTTCTGGTGACTTTAGTAAGTTTTTAGAAAATCTGGAAGGTGTTTTAGTACAGTTAAGTGATTTTAAGGATGTAATTCTTTGTGGTGATTTTAATGTTTATTTTAACACTTGCAATGCTCAGGCAACTAAACTATGCAATCTACTCTCTTCTTTTGGTTACGTGAAGACTATTCAAGGTGCCACAAGAAAACACAACTGCATTGATAATATATTTATCAATTTTTCTATTGACAATTTCATTACTAGTACCATAGACACTAACTTATCTGATCATTTGGGCCAAAGCATCACAGTTTTACCTGAAGCAGTGTCACTTAGTTCGCGATGTCTACAATTTCGGCCTATTACCAGTAAAGGGCGCCTCGCACTGTTTAATATGCTAACCAACTGTACTTTTAATTATTTGAATGATACGAAACTAGACATAAACACGAAATTCGATTTATTTTTTAACAATGTTTATGATGCTTTTAAAATCGCATTTCCTGAAAAAACAGTAAATCTTACAAAAACTAAAAGTAACACTTGTGTTAAATGGTTTACCGGCGAACTTCGAACCATGAGGAATAACTACCAATTGATTCACGAGTTACATCGTAAATATGGTACAATAAACTTATTAGTTGTAAAACGTAGATTGTACTCTGCGTATAAAAAAGCAATCAAGAATGCAAAAATCGCGGCCAATAACGATGCAATTAAAACATCATCTAATCCGATTGGAACAATGTGGAATATTGTAAATTTCCACAGGTATTCACAAAAACGTGTCTGCTCTAGTTTATCTGCTAATGATTTTAATGTGCATTTTGAAAACCACTCTGTAAATATTGTAAAAGATATCCCTTGTAACAATGTAGATCCTATTGCTATTTGTTCGGCTAAGGTTCCTGCAGATCTAAGGTTTAGTTTTAATTTAGTATCTCCTAGTGAAGTAAGAAATCTCATAACTTCTATAAAAAACAGTAATTCAAAAGATATCTTTGGGTTAAGTGCTGATCTTATCAAGTCTAACGTGAGTTTGTACACCCTACCACTTGTGAAACTTATAAATTACTCCTTTGAGGCAGGGGTGTTCCCGGATTTATTAAAAATAGCAGCTGTAGTGCCGATTCATAAAAAAGGAGATGTTAATGACGTTGTTAACTATAGACCAGTATCTATCTTACCTGTATTTTCGAAAATATTTGAAAAGGCTATATTTAAACAAATAGTAACTCATTTCGAAAACAATAATATTTTCTACTATAATCAATTCGGTTTTAGAACTGGAAGAAGCACCACTGATGCGATCTTGACCTTTATGAATAAAACCTTAGAATGTTTTGAAAATTCCGATTACCTCGTAGCCACCTTTCTGGACTTATCTTCCGCTTTTGATTGCGTCTCGCACAAAATTCTTCTTAATAAATTAAAACATGTATATAATTTTGATAAAATAAGTGTGTCGCTCATTAATTCTTACTTGTCTGGTCGATCGCAGTGTGTACGTTTTAATAATGCGCTGTCACACAAATTACCCATTCAAAGAGGGGTTCCTCAAGGAAGTATTCTTGGGCCCCTATTATTTCTAATTTATGTGAATGACTTCCCCGCTTATGTTTCATTATATAATGACTGCATTTTGTATGCAGACGACATCACTCTTTTTAAACAGGGTAAATCTGTTCAGCAATTAAACGGTGAATCCGAGTATTTAGTGGATCTTGCAAATAAGTGGTGCATTGCAAATGAATTAAAAATCAATATTTCAAAAACACAACACTTAATTCTCTCCCTGAGAACACATAATCTTTTAACACCACGCTATGTCAAGTTCCTGGGACTCTGTATTGACAGCAAATTGAGTTTTAGTATGCATGTTGAACATGTTCAAGCAAAATTTAGCTGTAACTTATTTGTCCTACGTCGATTAGCAGATAATGTCTCAGCAAATGTCTTAAGACGCGCTTACTTCGCTTTGTGCCATTCTTTATTGACCTATGGTATTATAGTATGGGGAAGCTCTTCTTCCAGTGGAGATCTTTTTAGACTTCAGCGCAAGGCACTAAGAGTAATTTCAAGTCTGGGCTATAGAGATGATTGCAGACAGGCATTTATAGATTTAAAGATCCTTACATTGCCTTGTCTGTTTATTTTTACCTGCTTGTGTTATGCTAAGGCAAATCTCGCTAAGTATAGGCAACAACATCAGATTCATGCTCACGATACACGTAGCAAGGAGGATTATCGTTTACCCCTTTTAAGATTAAGTATATCGAAAAAAGGTGCAGAATATATTGCAATAAAATTTTATAATCATCTACCCGATACTATTAAGTTGCTTAATGAAAAGGTTTTTAGCAACAACATTAAACAATTTTTGTTGTCAAAGGCGTTCTATTCCCAAAATGAATATTTTAATTTCAAATTCGCCGAAAAAATTTAAATTTATGTATTAGTTTAGATCTCGGTTTAGATTTTTGTGTAATTATTTTTTATTTTGACGATTGTATGTAACTTTTTTCGGTTACTTAAACATAATAAAAGTTATTATTATTATTATTATTATTATTTAACACTAGTTATAATTACAATTAACTATATACATGCCTAAAAGTCAAATTTACTTTAATGCATTCTTAAGTCTGAACATGTGTTCTCGTTTTGTTCTCTTTTAAAATCAATAGCGTTTCAAACATTTCATCGCTTAATCTATTTCTATGAGAAGTTAGAATTTGTCCGCCTACACTAAATATGCTTTCTATGGGTGCAGAAAGAGGACAGCACACAATTATATTTAAAAAACATTATTTTACAGCGGGGTAGGTACTTATTTAATTGATAATATGTATTATCTGAATCTTTAAAATATTCATTGCACTGTACAGCAGTTGCGATTTCTGTGTGGGTACTACTTATTTTTAAAAAAATCAAACAAATCGTCATCAGAAGAAATTTCATCCCCAGAATTTGCGTGTCTTTCGATTTCACGTTCATCTTCTGGCGTTCTTAGCTCTTCTATTGCACTATTTAATCCATTTTTGCAGAAATCTACCTCATTTTTAAAAGGAGTAATATCCAACCATTTTAATTTAAATTTTGGGTTTGAAATTGTGGCCAAAAAGTATGATCGACTAGCAACATTTTTTATGTTCATTATATTACAAACGTCTTAAACGGTCATTTAGTAAACATTCCTGTAATCTTAAATAGAATTTTAAATTTGTCATAGTTTCCAGTAATGCTTTAATTTTAAAAAGTGTTTGTAAAACAGTTCCTAAATGACACGATTTTTCGTTTTGTAAAATATCTATACCAAGTGTTTCGCATTTTCTACGGCAGCTAGCGCATCCACAGTAATAAGACTAAGGGTATATATGAGTAACATTTAAAATGTTGCGGCAAAAGCACGTACGAGGCGTCAATATCAAAGTCTGGTAATGGTTCAACATCTACGTCATTTTGATTATGTAGCCCTGTCAGTTCATTGCTTTTGTATTGGTCAATACTCAAAAAGGAGGTAAATACGACGCTTTACTAAAATTGCATTGTCTGTTACGGTCCCTGAAATTTTATGAATCTCAATACAAAAGATTTACGTTCGAAAGTACTATGGTCAATATAATATAATGGGCAGTCATACCAAGATAACTTTTGTTATCACTACTCCAAACATCTGCTGTTGTACAGACGTATTTGGCTTTATTTAATTCTTCCCTTACATTATCAACTACTGCGGAATTTCGTTCTTCCAATTTATGTTTTAGGTGCGTATACATCTGCCGAACCGAGCATGTAATGTAACGTGTAATGTAATGCTCGTTTGATTTAAACAGTACGAGCGCGAACATATTCGTAGGTCGCTCCATTCAAACTTGACCATTGCAGGCGAATTGTTTTTCAGTGGTTGTGCAGAAATTGTTTATTTATTGTGCCATGTCCTCCAATGAAGAAGCGATAGCATTGTTGTTAGCAAGCGGATCCATAGTTATTATTATGGAAGAGATGCGTAAAAGAAAAACAAGACGAGACAGACGATGGTGGAAAACCGAATTATTCAAAAAACGAACAGGATCTGAATTACTGCTTGATATGAAGATTCAGCACATTAGCGGACAATACAAAAACTTCACTAGGATGACACCAAGTGATTTTGAAAACCTTTTACAAAAAATAGGTCCAAATATCGCCAAGCAGGAAACACATTTTCGTAGCCCTATCTCTGTTCAAGATAGGTAAGTGGTCGATTTAAGTACATAAATAAAGTTAATAAGTACTAGTATACATATTTTGGAAGATGTGATCGAGCAAATTGTATTTTTAGGTTAGCAGTAACTTTACGATACCTAGCGACCGGAGATTCGTATACAAGCCTCCAATTTCTATTTAGAATATCAAAACAATCTATTGGGCGAATTGTTTCAGAAGTATGTAGAGCACTTGTACATGAACTAAAGGAATATATTAAGGTAAAAACAAACTTTATTTAGTAATATTATTGAAAAGAACAACTGAAAAATGTATAAACAAAAATAGCGTGCGTACTTTTAAACATAATCATTAAAATCATCGCGATCTGAATGTTGAGGGGATGGTGTATAATTGGAGAGGAGTGACGAAGGAGAGGACATTGCTTGTCGGGAAGCGAGCCTTTCTGTTAAAGATATGTTTGGGAATTGAGGTGTTACTTGTGGCGGAACAACTACTAACTCTGTGTAGGTGGATGGTTGATACTGCGAGTGAGAAGACGACTGTAAGCTTTCGTTGGCACTTGTTGATGCAGTTGAATGATATGACTGCGTTGCTGCCCATACTGCCTCATGTGCGCAGGAAATTCGTAAAATCCTCTATCAGCCTTCATAATTGTATCAAGAATAGAATGTTCAACTCCTTTCCTCGTTTCGAATGAATAGGAATTCATTTTTGCCATTACAAAACTTAAAAAAGCTTTGACTTCGTCATTTTCTGGACAAGATGAAGTTAGCTTAGAAGCTGCAGTTTTTAAGACAGCCACTGCATCAACCATCAGCGAAGAATGTTCTTCGCGAGATGTTTTTATTCTCCGTTTTGGGGCACTGGTTGGAGTTTTTTCGACTTCGATCTCCGATTCGGTTTGTAATTCATCCTCTTTGCCACTACCACGTTCTTCTTGTTGCGATTCCTAAAGGAATGGTATCAAATAAGTATAGGGGTTTTCAATTAATTACACTGATTACACTTTTAATGCATTTTGAAAGAAATAACGCAATATAATTGTACTGAATGTTATTCCATGACGTGCAACTAAATTAGCTGGTTCTACCAGCTCCAAATAAAATTATTTAGCACATAACCTGCGAAGTAATTAGTTTTACTTTACTATACTAAAATCGAAATCAAATGACGGCATATGAATCGTTCTACTTTCAGGTACCTACTACACCTGAAGCTTGGAAAGAGGCAAGTAACGTGTTTGAAGAAGTATGGAACATGCCTCATTGTTTAGGTGCTCTTGATGGGAAGCATATTCTCCTCAAAGCTCCAATTAATTCTGGCAGCGATTACTTTAATTATAAGTCTCAATTTAGTATAGTACTATTGGCAGTGGTTGATGGAAATTATAACTTTATTTTTACGGACATCGGATGTCAAGGAAGGATTTCAGACGGAGGTGTTTTCAAAAACACAAAATTATATAATATGATGACAAACGGTACTTTAGGATTGCCTCCACCTGACCAGCTTCCTGGACGTGAAACGAAAGTACCGTATTATTTCGCTGCTGATAGTGCATTTGCATTAAATGAACACATTATGAAACCATATCCGGGGGACCATGCCAAAGGAAGTACTAAACGTATCTTTAACTATCGCTTAAGCAGAGCTCGGCGAATTGTTGAGAATGCGTTTGGTATATTAAGCGCAGTATTTAGGGTTTTACGAAAACCTATGCTTGTGGAACCCGAAGTGGTCGTGATGACTACTGTCCTTTTGCACAATTACTTAAGAAACAATTCGCCAAATCTGTATACACCACGTTGTTCTATTGATTACGAAGAAGATGGGGTAGTTACCATGGGGTCCTGGAGGAATGATGAAGCTATGACATCAATGCAACCCTTTCAAAATATTCCCCGACGATCTCATGCTTATGTTCAGAAGATAAGAGATGAAATTGCCGATTATTGCGTGAATGAGGGGGCTGTTCCATGGCAAAATGCATACGCTTAAATCATGGTTTAATAACTGTAGGTACTCACCGTGTCCATACTTTTTCTTGGCTTATCTCTGTCTTCCAAGAATCGTAAAGCTTCGTAAGCGAACCATCGACTATTGTATACGTTATCCACACCTACAAATAGATATTATAATTATGTTTAGTTTTGTTTTTATTTTGTAGTAAAATAATGTACATTTTTCGAACTGAATATTGGACTACTAGAATTTGTTTATATATATATATAATCAAAGAAACCTTTTACCCTAAGGTGTAAGGTACATAATTTTAATTTACATTTCAATTTCGTGTACAAATTTTGTCCATTGTTTCTTATCTCTTGCCAGTTTTCTCGCTTCTGCCCACGTTCTTCCTTTTCTTTTCAGTATTGCGGCCACTTCATCGTTCCACGTTTTTTTGGGTCGTCCTCTTGTTCTTTTCTTTTGCACGCCTGATTCCCATATCCTTTTAACTTGTCTGTCGTTGTCCATTCTGCATATATGCCCAAACCACTTCAGTTTTTGTTTCTCTGTCATGTCAATAATTGACTCAATTTCCAGTTCTTCTCGCACCGCCTCATTTCTTATTCTGTCCATTCTGGTGATTCCTTTAACTCTTCTTAAGTATTTCATGTCGGTGGCCTTTTCATAGTATTCGTCAGCACCCAGCTCTCACTTCCGTATGTTAGGATTGGTCTAAATACCGTTTTGTATACTGTCATTTTTGTTTTTGTACTAATTTCCTTTCTGCCTATAAACGCCGTGTTTAGGCTGTGGTATAATCTTGTTGCCTTACCAATTCTCTCGTTAATTTCCATTTCCATATTTCCCTCTCTGTCTATCAATACCCCTAAATACTTGAATGCTTCGACTTGTTCTATCTTGTTTTGATTTATTACTATGTTAATGTTCTTGTTCTCCTTACTTATCACCATTACTTTTGTTTTATTCGTGTTTATTATCATGTTTCTCTTTGTTAATTCTTCTTCCCATATCCGTAGGTTATCTTGCAGGTCCTTCTCCTTTGCTGCACAAATCATTACGTCGTCCGCAAAGGCACATTCTGACACGTTCACGGGTATTAGCTTGTTGGTACCGATATGCACCTTTTTGGTTCTGGTTGCTGTTGCTTTGATGATATGGTCCATTATTAGTAGAAACAGTATTGGGCTCAGGACCCCTCCTTGCCTTAAACCTTCGCTTATTTCAAATGTTGTCGATTGTCTATTATTCTTCCTCACATAACTTTTGTTATTTTCGTATAACCCCTTTATTCCTTCTATTAACTTTGCACTCACCTTCCTTTGCGTTAGACTTTTCCATATTACGCTTCGCGGTACTCTATCGAATGCTTTTTCAAGGTCCAGAAAGGCCATGTAAATTTCAGAATTTTGCATTTTGCTTTTCTCTATCATTTGTTTGATGCTGAAGATATGATCCTGTACGCTCCTTCCTTTCCTGAAGCCACTCTGAGTGTCTGCCAGCTGCTCTTCTATTTGGATTCTTAGTCTTGCCTCCATTATGTGTTCATATACCTTTGATACCACACTTAGTATTGTAATGCCCCTATAATTACTGCAGTCTCTACTGTCGCCCTTCTTGAATAACGGTATTATTATTCCCAACTTCCAGTCTTCTGGTACTTTTCCCGTAGTCCATGCCTTGTTGAAGATTTTTGTTAGCATTTCTGTCCCTCGCGCCCCTAGGTTTTTCAGCATCTCTGCATTTATCTTGTTTATTTCATAATGTATCTTACCTGATCCTGTCCCTTTCGATTTTTTTTCTCTGGCCTTCTCCCTTCTGTATGAAGCAAGTAAACTAATGATTTTTGCTTTACATGCTTCTTCCGGCTGTTCAACTGCGGCCGCTATTTCTTTCCAGGCATCCACTTTTAAATTTTTGTTATAATAGTTTTCATTCCTTGGATTCCACAGCACTTCATAATTTTTATAAATCTCTATCAATAACAATGAACTTTCATCTGACCACTGCGCCATTTTAAACAAGACTAAATGCTCGCGAGCACGTCAAGAACAGGAAGGTTAAACTAAAAACACGTCCCAATCGAGCACGCGAATCCCTTTGTGCTCGTCACAAAAACCGACTTTTGACGGAGCGAGCGAGCACACTGCGAACCTGTTCGCTTCGTGCTCGCGGCGCCGTCCCAATTGTCCGAATTTGTTGCATTAGTCTAAGGCTCCATTGTCAGCGGTTCAGATCAGATCAGACCCGATCAGACCAGACCAGACCAGACAAGGTCAGATCAGATCAGCACGTCCGATGTAGTGGCTCCATTTGTAGCGGATATGTAGATACCCACCCAACGAGTAAACACGTGGTTATTATTATTTGGTAAGGTCGAAGAAGTTCACAATGAATTTTTGGTATTTTATGTGCTAAATGGCGTTTGCTAACTAAGGCCATTGAAACCGAATAGGTTCAAGCGTTTGGCAGGGCCAGAGACAGAGAACTCCCCTATAAAGCTTGCATCGCTTTGCTCTGGCGCTTAATAATGAAATGTAACTAAATAAATAATTTACCCTTTAACATACCTGAACAGGCTCCAAGGGGTCTTGCCCCCACTGGAAATTACGGTTCTTTTACAAAAATTACAGGGGATGTCTTTATCAAAAACTTCTTAGTCCCACCTAGAAAAATACCCGCCACCCCTGCTACTTTATTCTGGCTACGGGCCTGTACCTGAAACGCCCATTTTTTCTCCAGTGTCTTTTGATAAAAGACTTTTCATATCTCTATCTTTTATCCCGTTGATCCCAAAGAGGTGGATTTCCTCTGATGAGGTCGATTAAAAGTGATTTATCCATTGTCTCACAAGTCAATTTACGGTCGTAGTCTGAGAAAATATCAAACACGTTTGATTCATACAGACCGTCGGAACGTACACGTATGTGTCTGGTGAAAACTTGTCTGTCGCTGTCTGAAGGGACAACTGTAGCCACTTATCTGGTCTGATCTGGTCGGATCTGCTCTGATCTGCTCTGAAACGTCGCTAATGTAGCCGTAGCCTTACACGTTACATTACATGCTCGGTTCGGCAGATGTATACGCACCTTTAGAGTTTTCGGGTCGCAAGGTTTTTTCCCGGATAGTCCTTCTACTAATCGAACAAAGGCTGGCTTTTCAACAGGGATGGGGTCTCATTTCTTCAGCTATGTAATCCAGTATTTACTCCGCCAATGTTAAATATCGCAAAAAAACATTTATATATAAATTAAAATTGATCTTTGGATCTACGAGTGAAAGATCGATTGTAATATACCTAATCTATATCCAGATACAAGATCGTCATCTAAAAAGGATCTAGACTCAGATCCAATATCCATGGATCGATCTAGAACGTGGATTTGTACTCCGATCCACAAAGCAACAGGATTTGTTCTGAAATTTTTCATGGCGAATGACATATCGACAGCGATATAAGAGTAAAATCGGGAAATTTGGAAACCAACTACCCATGCATTTTTCTTTACCTTATTATAAAATAACTTTGTACTAAGTTTAAACAAGTATAAATTGTGCACAACTCTTGTGCAGATACAGGGCGTTTTAATTTTAAAAGCAGTAGCATGCTATATTTATCGATGTTTTCTTTCTCGTTAGATGATTAATGGGGAGACTTCACCAATAGATATGTCTCGTCCACATGGATTCCCACATTTGGACGAGTGCGGGCCACTTACAAAGAATATGTTGAGCCGTCTACTTGCCTGTATAGCATCCTCCACAGGAGAGTGTCACGCTCAAGCCAATGTGTTGCATGATGTGCTCGTTTAATTTACAGTGGTCTAAGAGTAAACGCAGGTTGATAACCCGCTACAAAATCGCGCCAATCCGCAAATTGGTCCTATGATGATCTGGTTCCAGTATGTAAATGGGAGAGTCGGATCTAGGTCACAAAACGGTTGCTTTGAGGCAATTCTGGTTAGTTTGTCAGCTTTTTCAGTACCTTTCACTCCATCATGCCCTTTGACAAACACGAGTTCAAGGGGCCTACTGGATGATACTTGCCCTAGTACATGGTGACATTAAACACCACCATTCAGGTGATTTTTCAGTTGCCAAGTGCTTGAAAGGCAGCTCGTCTATCACTGAATATCCTTATTTTGTTGTTGTCATTATTTTCACCGAGAATTTTACAAGCACTGAAGATTATTCCTACCAATTCCGTTTGAAATACGGTTGAGAATTTGCCTAGTGGTTGGGTGATTTGGAAGTTCAGTTCTTTTAAGGAGAGGCCCGTACCTGTGCCTTCCGTTGCTTTGAAAATTGATATATCAAGTTGGGATGCTGCGAAGCGTCGGCAAGCCAGCTGATTAATTCTTATTTGTCAGATAGACAACAACGCGTTGTTGTCAACAACAAAACCTCTAATGTGGAACGTATTTTTGCGTGGCGTTCCTCAAGGGTGTATTCTGGGTTCCCTACTTTATAGTACCTATCTATTCCAGCAGCATTTGTAATGGATTACGTTATTGCAAAGTCCACCCATATGCTGACGATACTCAGATTTATTGCTCTTTTACAAAAAATCAAACTAATACAGCCGTAAATCAAATTAATGCAGACTTGAATACCTTATCTGAAACTGCATCGGCACATAATCTGAGTATTAATCCATCCAAATCAGTGTAATGTTATTTGGTCGCCAGCTAGCAAAGACTCGTTCAAAATACCACATTAAAATTTGTATGAATGGTACACTTCTTCCTCTTGTGAATGAAGCCAAGAATCTAGGGCTGTTACTAGACTCCGATTTAAGCTTTAAAGGGCATATTAATTCCTATATACGTAAAGCGTATTCCACGTTGAGGAAGTTGTATTCTAGCAGGAACTTGTTATCCATACAGACAAAAACTTATGTGACAGACTCTAATACTGATGGCCGTTTGCACCGACAAATTTAAGCGACGCTTAGCTTAAGCGTATAGCTTAAAATCCATGGCAACCATTGTCTCAATAATCGTTGCCATGGATTTTAAGCTACGCTTAAGCTAAGCTCCGCTGGCTCAACATGAACCTTCGAAGAGGCCTGCATGTTGCAGTGCTGGACCATAAAGTCATCACTACCCAAATACCGCCATATTTAGCTGAACGGTTACGTTATCGAAGCAGTCTTCATAATTTATTGAAACCTTAGACACAGAGGCCTATTAACACTTCCTGACCATCAAACGTCAATAGATCATTTTCATATAATGTAGCTAAGGCTTATAATTCCATTCCAACTATTTCTTTGTTCGCAGTTGTAAGGCTGCCCTCGGGGCACCTAGGAAAAGTGCATTGGCGGTTGCAAGTCTGGTTCTAGGTCACCAGACAATTACTCCTTCACAAATCATACGCTTAAATAAATACGTCAATGCAACGTACAGCCACAGAGAAGTGTTTGGAGATGGACCCCAGAGTCTGCCAATCGCTCGGAGACTTCCAGAAGAGTCTATATAAGCTTTTTCCGTTATAAGCTATATATGCTTTGGCACCCCTACATAATGGCGCCGTGCTTATCGCTTCGAAGGTTGTCTTGTCGAAGGTATGAATGCTACTGTGTAGACCGTATCCAGCCCATTGATATCTCAATCCACCCAATTTGTTCCCCTATTCTCGTACCTTATTACTTCTGAGATATTTTCCATATAAGTGCCATACCATTTTGAGACTAGCTAGATAGATAATGCGCTTATACGAGATTTGAGAGTGATGCGGTTTGCACTTCTCCTAGAGCCGAATTCAGAGTCCTTCCTAATTTCAAACTCACACTCAACTAGTTAGTCACTCATTTCTAATTTCTAACTCAAGTTAGTGCGAATCCTGCTCATTCTCACTTTTGGTATTCAGAGAACATCTGTAATGAGCTACTAATTTGAGTGGGGTTTTAGTATGGAATCTGTCAAAAATATTGTTAGGGGAACGATTGGTAGTGAAAATTTTACCAAGTAACTAAGAAACCGCTCTGGAAACGCTAACTTCAGCATAAACAGATATTTAATTTAAACTTATTTCTGACGTTTTCGCAAATCTCATAGTCTTTGTTAGTCTTTCTTGTTCCTAAAGTTGTTATTATTCTTATTAGTTTCTGTTATTGGGGTTTATTAATTTTGTTCTTATCGTCATAACTATGAACGCCAATAAAAAACCATTTATGACCGGAGATGAGAAGATTTTTAGCTTTGGAAATGCTTATGTTTTGTATGGGTTTGAAGTTACTGGTTAGTCGAGCAGAAAAGAAGACAATTGGTGTCGCATCAAGTGATGATTGTCCCGTACTTGACTGCAATCGGTAGATTCAGGAAAAGTCGCGGATACTGTCGATACGGTACTTACTTAACAGTGCGCAAGGGTGTTGTTAATTCGAATCTAAATTTATCGCACATCGCCCGTGATGGTATTACACGCATGCTACGACACGAGCAAGCTCGCAAGCGAGTGGAGCAAGTGATGCCGTATGAATAACGGTTATTTGTGTTTTACATATGGCATTGTACGGTTATTATTTCCAATACCTCCGATGGTTGCAAGGATTGCGAAATCAGTGAATTTCTTAAAAGAAATTGTGACCCGGTATATTAACATCGTCGAATGTAAGAAGACCGATGCTGTGTCCGTGTCACAACGAAAAAAAGTGTGTCCGTGTCCTTCATTACTTACTAAGATAATGTCTATAACAACACACTTAAAAACTACTTTGCAATAAAATATTCTAACAAACACAGGAAACACATTTGACATAACCAGGTTATTTTAAATTAGTGACACTTAAGGGTAGTCCAAAGCTGACTTACATCGCACTCATCTCTTACTCACTAGTTAGTAAGAGTTTAGTCACTCATTCAGTCTAATTTGTTTCCGAATACCAATGTCAGAGGTTAGGTTGAAATTAGTAGGATCTAAGTGTGAGTTTGAAATTAGGAAGGACTCTGAATTTGGCTCCTAGTTACTTTTCAACGATGCCAATTTTGACGCATGACTTGCGCGAACGTGGCAACAAGGCAAAAGTCCAAAAATGCAATAAAAATGACCTTCGTATTTATGCACTTTCTCATCTGTACATTACATAGGTACCTACGTCGACTGTCTGTAGTGGTAATAATAATTGATATGTTCCATTTAACGATGTTTTATAGAAAATTGCATGCCACAGTCCTGAAAAATAAATTTGCAATAAATAATACCCTCGGTTTCATTTTGAGAGGTGGCAATCAAGTTAGCAACGCATCGTCTGTAACAAATGGGTGAGTATGTACTTTGCATTTTCACCTGCGACATTGTCTAGCTGTCGAGCCTTTTCCTTTATACGTTTAATACTTATATAAGGAGTAATCCATATTTTAATGTTAATTATTGTGCGCGAGAAAATGAATATTTTTTTCTCATGATCTATCGAAATAAAATATTATCATGATTGTTTCACTTCCGATTTTACCTGATGTGGATAGCACCTTTCTTATTTTAAATAGAACGCCCTGTATTTCATTTAATTTTCGATTGAGTTTTCTTCCAACGTCTGTTTCTTTAGACTCCGTTGACTGGAATTTCAAAGTCTTCCAAAACCAACAATAATAACTTGTTTTATAATGGAAACGAGATATATTAGCAAAAAAAAACCGATTTTTCAGACCTTCAGCACTTCGATAGCGTCTTCAAAATAAACGCGCCCTGGTGGAAAGGCATCGCGAATTTCTACCTATAGTGTAGCAATTAGCAAGTAACATATCTGAACTGAGACGTAACTTATTTCCTGTACAGCGAGTAGCTCTGATAAATACGGTTTAATCAACTAATTTATTTTATGATAGTAAAATTAACCAAAAAAAAAGAGTTGTAGGTACTCGCCAAATTGAGACTATCCTCTTTTTGGAAAATATTATAGATATACTTGAATTATGTCAAATTAAACCTAATAAAGCTTAAATAAAAAAAAAACACTAAGAAATCACAATAAAACGTAGATACACGTTTCGACAACCAAGCTGTCATCATTAACTGAAAACTAAAAGTGTAAGTATAAATCTAGTTTGAATTTTAAATGACTTTTTGTTTGCCCAATATATACTTGGTGATGACAATCTTTCAATTTATTTTGTGTATTCCCGATTTATCCGTCATATCTACGGGTTTATAAAATTAACAGGACACACGGGAAACAAATTGATGGTACGCCGCAGACAGGTAGGTATAAGATCCCAGCGTTTACATGCGTTTTAAAATTTCTATCGCAATTCAAAAGAATGCATAGTAACTGATTCAAAACAATATCGTCTTATTTCCACTGAAAATTAGTTTAAAATCTCTGCATGGGGAGTTATTTAAATGTTTTTTTACAATTTAAAATAATTATAGCCAATCAGTACCAAACATTGCAATAAAATAATATATTTATATTATTGTAAATAAATAATTGTTTTCACTATGCAGTGTTGTAAAGGATAGGGATTAATAGAGTAATAGTAGAGTTTTCTGCTATCCACTTGCCGTCTCCCCTCTTTTCTATCCATTTTCTTTTCATAATCGTCTATCCTCTCCCCTCTTTCATATCGTCTACCACCGTCATTTGTCTTACTTCTTCGTCTTTTCTCTATACCCTCCACACCTCCTCCGATCAGCAAACTACTCCCTCTTCTTAGCCCATGCCTAAGCCAAATTCTTGTCCGAAAAAGTGTTTTATACAAAGATCGTTCTTTTTCTATTCTTTCTAGGACATGTTCGTCCCTAATCCTGTCAGACCACCTTATTCCTAGCATTCTTCGTCACATACACATTCCATAGCTTCAATCATTTCTTTTAAATGGTCCACGTTTCACATTCGTACAGCATAACACTCTATACAAAACACTTCGCTATTATTTTCCTTATATTCATGTGCAAGTGCCACAGTATTTTCTACTTTTCCTGACAAATGCTTCTTTTGCCATTCCAATGCGCGTCTTTATTGAACTCTTTCGTCGTGCAATGGTGTTTCGTGATTGACGTCTGGATTCTCTGTTCCCCAACTTCTACAGTTTTGTTTATTAACCCCACCAAAAGGTATATAATTAGCTTCGCCCTTCATCAAAAATCCGCCCCAAAAATCATCGATCATTCTTGCGATCGAATTCCATATTCAAGACGACCGACGTGGCTTATCCATTTGCAACAATCTTTGGGTAGGTTGCATTTTGTATGGAAAAAGATGGAGATCTTCCTTCATACTTCTTCGTAAGGTGGTAGTTCAGTTCCTGAGAACGACGGCGATACGGCAAACTTGGATTTTCGGCAACAGTCTCTTTAACCGCTTCAACAAATTTCATTGGAGCGTCGCGGATGCTGTCGAATGGAACGTTGGCGAGTAGCTTAGACCCGTATTCAATGAAATTTTTGGCCAAATTACGAATTGTCTTGCCGGAAGGCGCCGTGTCTCCCATATTTCTTACGATACGATTTCTCTTTCCTAGTCCATACATGCCAACCACATTCTTATCTCTTCCATTTCCCACGACTGATGCATTCCAGTCGTCCATTACGATTTTACAACAACCACCTCTTCCACCCTCGATTAAATTTTTTATCCTTGCGTAGACCTCTTCTACTCCCTCATACTCAAGTATGTGTTGACATGTAGACGTGAATCGCTAACAATATTCTATCGTACAGCGTTAAGCTTTAGAACCTTCACAACCATTAATTACTTTGGTTACGCACACCTAGAAAGTTCTTTGCTGACAATTAATAAGTCCCAGTCCGTTTTTCTATTTTTTTACCACTGATACAAAAGAACTTTGCATCGTCACAATTTTCCTGTCCCGGTCCCTTCCATCTTGTTTCACTTACTCGAATCAAATCCAGTCTGTTTTTAATCATTTCTTGTTGTAGATTTTCAAGCTTTTCTGACGTTCCAAGTTCCCATCCTCAATTTACCTTTTTCCTTCTTTTCATTGTTTTTCTTGAATGCACTCTTCGGATACTGTCCATGTGACACTCAGAGCAGCTCAAAGGAAGCACAAACATATAATCTTATAATATTTGATATGTTTAAATGACCTAATTAACGTCCTTGGCTATCTCGTTTTCGATTTTAGATCTATAGCACGATACATTTTGCACCATAATTTGCAGAATAATTTCAACAAATGCAAGCAATGCAACTGCGCATTGGTTCTCCGAAAGTGAACGTAACGATTTTGTTTCTGTATATCCCTATTTGGCTGAAGACCTCACGAAAAGTCCACTGTGCGACGACACAATAGTCATGGATCGAATACGTCAGCTGCTTACACATAACTTAACGCACGGAAAGAAACTTGTTGGTCTATCTACTTTACTTCTCTATAAATCAATAGAACACGAGCACAACCTCACCGAACACAACGTTCGTTTGGCTAATATCATGAGTTGGTGCTTACAGATGGTGAGCAGATCAATCTGAAGCTCACATATTAATTTAACGTTTGTTATAGTTGCACACCTCCTTTGTCCTTACGGATGATATGATAGATTCGTCGAAAACTCGTCGTGGGATGCCCTGTTGGTATTTATTAGAGGACGTAGGCAGTACAGCAATAAACGATGCAACCTGGCTTGCAAGTGCAATTTGTACAATTCTGAAAAAGTACTTCCACAACCATAATCATTATGTTCAAATACTTGAATCATTTAAAAAGTTACAAAAAGAGACCATACTTGGGCAGATAATCGATGAAATTTATACAGGAAACAGGGTAGTTAATTTACTGAATAACAGGACATACACCACAATCATGAAATACAAGACCGCCACCCCGTGCCAAGCTCCCATAACATTTGCTCTGCATCTAACTGGAAGAAATGATGAACTACTATACAATAAAGGTAGTAAAATTCTCGGAGAAATGGGACATTACATTCAAGTGCAGGTATGTTCATGTTGTTTATTAGGTACGTTTTTGGAAATGTTGACGCAAGAGCGTTTGCATACAGATCGTGCGGACTAAACGCAGACATTGAATTTAGTAGTAATAGTCATTGTTCAAATGCAGTTGAGTAGGGAAATAAAATGTCGCACCATAATGATTTTATACAGTGATATTCATGTAGAAGTAGACATAGGAAATTCAAATAGTAAAAAGTTTTCTGAAGGACGCCTAATTTTATGCAACGAAAATAACTTCTTCAAACAAATAAAGATCTGGCTGTCATATTAATTATTAATTTGTATATTGTTGCTTTGGCTTCACAGAAAATAAATCTCTTAAGCTCCTTTGACGTTTACCGGCACTATACCAATTGGAAGTATCAACTTATTCTTTAGTTGAATACATCGCACACGAACGTAAATTAGAATACGGAAGTCAAAGCGATAATATTCAAATTAATTAATATGACAGACAGATCTTCATTTGTTGTAGGTAGTTATTTTGGTTAGTTGGCGTCCTTCAGAAGACTTTTGATCATTTAAAAGTAGACGTAGGAAATTCCTATAGGAAATCCCTGTCTACTTCTACATGAATATCACTGTATACAGGGTCATTCTTGACGAGCGTCAGTTAGAAAGATATGGAAAACCTTTGAAAATGAAACTAAGCTGATAAGTCCTTTAAGGGTTTTGGCACATGATGAATTGAACTAAAATATTTTCAAGATGGCGCCACTTCCGGAAATACCGGAAGTAGCCATCAACTTTGTTATTTTAAATAGGGACCCCCTATTTTTTTCTACATTTTCGGATTCTACGTCAAATTTGGAGTACAACGATACCCCATAGTTGACCCTTTGCTCCAAGGGTTTCGCCGATATTCAAGTTTTTATGTCAAAAATTGAATTTGCAGGGGTAATTTTAAAAATTTATTATTCGAAAACGGTGAGAGATATTGCAACACAGTTTTCACTGATTTATTAAAGAAAGATCGAATTTTCTTATGGTTTGCGTAACACTCTAAGAAAGTGAGACTACGCCACTTTTTCAAAGCTCTCAACTTTTAAACATTTAAATATCCATAACTCCATTTTTTCAAATGGCACCCCCATTTTGTTCTTCACCCTTGTTTTTTTTCCTAGACCTTTAATTTGATACAAAATGTCAAAAGCTGCTTCAAACGGTTTCCGAGATATTCCATGTTTTAGTTACTTCTTGTAGCAAATTAATAAAAAATTAATTCGCTTGATGTAATTCTTTTGTTTTTATTATGATAATGTTTAAACGTCAAATTTGCAGGAATAACGGTATGTTACAAACAAAAATACAAAAAAGGAAGCCTGCGGTAGACTCTAAAGGACAAGAAATAACAGCTGTACTGCCGTATTTTGCTGCAAATCCAACTGCATCGCTTAATGATATCCAAAGAGAAATTGACATATCAGACACGAGTGCACAAAGAATTCTCTGTACTGGCGTATCTTACAGTTATTTCTTGTTCTTCAGGGTCTACCACAGGCTTCCTTTTTTTGTATTTTTGTTTGAAACGTACCGTTATTCCTGAAATTTTGTATTAATTTGCGAATTATAGCCTCTGTGGGTTGCGCCTTGTCAGGGTATCTTTCGGAAAAAAGACGGCAAGTCCTGGCCGCTATTCGATTATATTCACCGTGTATTAATATTAAATTTAAAAAATCTTCATTAGTGTAACCCAAACGAGCCATTATTGACGAGAAGTATAAGTTCAAGCAGCAAAAATTTGACGTTTAAACATTATCATAATAAAAACAAAAGAATAACATCAAGCGACTTAATTTTTTTATCAATTTGCCACAAGAAGTAACTAAAACATGGAATATCTCGGAAACCGTTTGAAGGAGCTTTTGACATTTTGTATCAAATTAAAGGTCTGAGAAAAAGGAAAACAAGGGCGAAGAACAAAATGGGGGGTGTCATTTGAAAAAATGGAGTTATGGATATTTAAAAGTTTAAAAGTTGAGAGCTTTGAAAAAGTGACGTAGTCTCACTTTCTTAGGCTGGTACGCATACCATGAAAATTTGATCTTTCTTTAATAAATCAGTGAAAACTGTGTTGCAATATCTCTCACCGTTTTCGAATAATAAATTTTTAAAATTACCCCTGCAAATTCAATTTTTGACATTAAAACTTGAATATCGACGAAGCCCTTGGAGCAAAGGGTCAACTATGCGTGTCGTTGTACTCCAAATTTGACGTAGAATCCGAAAATGTAGAAAAAATACCGGAAGTGGCGCCATCTTGAAAATATTTTAGTTCAATTCATCATGTACCAAAACCCTTAAAGAACTTATCAGTTTATCTTCATTTTCTAAGGTTTTCCATATCTTTCTAACTGACCCTCGTCAAGAATGACCCTGTATACCTACATGACGTATTACTGGAAGATTGCAGAAAAAAGTTTGAACGAAATATCTCAAAAACTCCAGGAGATATAAAAAAAACTTATACCTAAATATAGTAGAATGAGACAATTTCATTATTCTCTTTCTACTTCAAATTGCTATATTTCGGAAAAGGTTACGCAGTTTTACATACTCCGTTTAGAGAAATGAATTCACTTCAGAGGAGCCTTGCAATCCAGACTTTCTGCTACGTTCTATCTTTATGAAATAGGATCTTCTGCTGTTGATTCTTTAAACGCTAAATAGAGCAATGAACTTTACAATACAGAACACAGGGTTTTTTATCTACTTATTTTTATTACAGATTAGTGCGCCTTCTCACCAAGTTAACGACACCCGCTACACCACAGTTTGAGAAATCCTGGTTTTTTTTATCTTGGATTTCTAGAAATAAGCGGTTGTCTGCCTTGCAAATGCACTTGCGCCTCCTTCCTCCACTGTTTTCACACCCCTAGCTACTACACATTACAAAACCAATTAATAGTTTAAGTTTCAGAGATTTTTAGAGGTAAAGATTAGACGTAAAGCGAGTCCTATTGGTTTTTAAAGAAAGTAGACGTCATTTTGAAAGGGGCCTTAATGAATTCACAAGATGGGGACTTAGGGATAGTTAAACGCGATTTTTTGGGCTACGGAAGCGTTAACCGTACTGCTGAAAATATAGTTTTTCCATGAAGATTTTAAGGAAGAAAATCTGATTAGATAAAAGATTAATTTTTATAAAAACTTTTGCCGTGTATATTTGATATTAAATTAAGGATAGTTGAAACGATCGTGGTCACGAAATTGATCTATCCAACTCGCAAAAAGTAATTTAGTTTTCGGAAAATTGCCCTAAACCGTAATATTGCTAACAATACAATCGAATGCACATGACTTTTAATTCTTATACTCTTGCAGTTACTTATCTTTGTTATTTTTATTCGTGTTAATAGTATCTCTTATTTCTAGAACGACTATTTTGATTGTTTTGAAGATCCAACCATAACGGGCAAGAAGGGGTCAGATATTGAAGGGGGCAAATGTACTTGGCTAATTGTAGATGCCATGGAACGGTCATCCTCATCACAAAGACATATTTTAGAAGAACATTATGGTAAAAAAAATCCTGAAAGTGTCAAAGCCGTTCGTAATCTGTATGAAACTCTTCAACTGCGTAAGCAATATAAAGTGTACGAAGATGAATTTAAAACACGTATACGTACATATATTGAAGAAGTGCCAATTAACGCAACGCGTGAAGTATTCTACAAGATATTGAATAGTATTGGCAAAAAGACTTCATAAGTTCCATCACATATTCAATTGAAGTTGTTTTTTTCATCAACGTAATAAAACCATTCATTGCTTTCACATAGTGTACGTGTATGTGTTTGAAAAACCATATAGGATCGATGTAGACAGGTAAACATATGTACTATTATATAGTATACAGTCCCTAAAGGTATGGAATATTGGATCTGCAGATTTAACCAGTAAACTAATATTTCAAATAAAAGTGCTTGCCCATAGCTAAATTTTCATAATCATTTGGAATAAATAACTTTTTTTTAATGATACACCTTGTGTTCTTCTATATAACCAAGCTCCTTTAAAATGATATGATGGTTTTTCTGTTAAATGTGCCCTTTTACACTGATATTACACCAACTTTTGACCGAGTGTCGTTAACAATCAACTATCTCCAAAACCGTTAACTTCTGATTTTTTCATAAGCACTTCGCACCCGATTTTGTCATATACTCCTTCTATTTTAACTTCTGATACTTTGCACATACTTTGATCTATACGTAGCCATGGGTCCTGGATATCTATGTAAATTTTCAGTCGTGCACCTCAACACTTTTTTTAGTTGCTGTGATCCTTCCAACGAGATTTAAGTATATGTGTATTTGTTTCAGGTTTTAATTTTCAGATTATAAGGGGAAATGAAGAAAAGTTCGCAAGGTAAGAATCATTAAAAATTTATTCTTTTCTTACTGAGCTGCCTACCGGTGGTATTAATAATACCACACATATTTATAGTGAAATAGGTAGGTTTTTGAAGATTTGTACTTAGCAGTTACTCCGAAGGCCAAATAGATGTAAAATATTTTTTTAATGGCCACACTTCCGGAAATACCGTAAGTAGATAGTAACTTCGGCAACCTCTATTTTTTTATTGCATTTTTGGATTCTACGTAAAATTTCAGGTCTTTTGATACCCACATGTCGTATCTACCATTTATGGTTTTTAAGTTATTTTGACTTCGCATTTCATTGAATAGATAGGTACCATTTTTTTCGGATTTTCTTGAATCTTTGAATATGGAATCTTATTGATGGTGGAGTCAAAACTGGCTAATAGAATACTGATCTGTCACACAAAAATGTGCGGAAGTCCCTTCGATCCCATACGAGGACTTTGATAATTTTTTTTTAAATGTCAAGCTAGTTTAATACCCTAGGCTAGGCCTATTGAATTTTGTTGAGATTAGATAAGATATTGTGGTAGATAGTGAAACGAATCGTCGTCCCATAAAAATTTACGACTACACGTGTCTAAAAATTAGGTGAAAGAACAGTGGAAACACAAGGCAAATGAGCCATCACTGGGTAATTTCGAATAACAATTATGTAAAACGAAATGTATTTAAACCTTAAAGCAGAGCACATCTTCAAACTTATAATCTATGTTCATTACAGCCATCCCAATTGCAAACTATGCAAACACTAAATCCAGAGAAGGTGCTACAGTCTTCATATGGTGAACATGCTCTTACCATACCCATTGTACCTTAAATGGAAAGCAATAGTTTTCTTCAAATCAATAAAAGTGATTAGGTACTTACCATTTATACCGCCGGTAATTGTCACACAACGAATGGTTCCTACTCCACATGATTTCATTTCAATTCCTCTCCCTCCCGCGTGACATTCGTCTCCTGGTATTTTACTGATACAGCTATGGCACTCATTCACGGGCTCTAAAATAAGAGTTACATACAAGATCCTATCAATTTAGACTGATTCATACATCCATCTTTGAATAAATGAATATGTGTTCACTAGTACAGCTACTTTTACCTTGTTCTCCTATCTCTTGAGAGTAAGCAGCAACGCAGACGGTAGCCACTACAAACAAAACCTTGAAATACATTGCGATACGGAAAAGCGCAATTCGATTGTTTATTATAGAACCGACATCAATTTTATATGTTTTCAGGAGTTGCATAGATTAGATATAATTGAAAGGAGCTCTTACATGGCTAAGATATCGTTAAAAAAAATAAGTTGTGAAATCACTGTTGTAATCAAAGCACTCAGGTGAAAAATAAGCCTATATTTCCCAATATTTGTGTTATCCTGGTTCCTTCTGCATGAGTGAAAACTGCACTGTGGACCAAATTTGTAGAAATAATACGTGATGCCAAAGAAATTCACGAAATTATTGCTACACAATTATACAATGCAGGCTCTAAAGAGACTAAAAAGTGTTGTTGGTCAAGGACATATTAGGCATGTTTTCGGCAAAGAAAACAGCGAATGTTTCCTTTTTTACAACGAAATTGTTTTTCCAGCTTCTAGCAGATATATACAAATGGTCGACCAATAGCTACATCCTCGACCTAAGTTGTTTGCGGTATTTTTTAATTGGAAATGGTAAAGTATCAACGATTAGCACTTGTAACTAATATATTATGTTCATGGGGTGGCAATGTTAGGAGAATATCAATTACATGTTCCAATATGACCGTCGTGTTTGATTTTGTAGTTAACTGGAAAATATCCTGTATCAATTACTTATAAACAATATACAATTACTTATCTTTTGATAGTCTTGTGTATGGAAACAATTGCTGGATGTCAGTACTTCAAATGGATAAAATATGTGCTTGCTTATCTCTTTTATCGTGATTGCTTTTAATTATTTGTCGATAAACATGAGTGAGATGTTTTCCGCATTGTTAATACATATAGGTAAACCCGACAGAATAGAGAATAAACCAAGGTCATTTATAGTAGAAATTAGCCAGTGTTGGTGAAATTTATTGGACCAAGGCGTAATTGGTAATTTATAATGCTTGGCATAACATGTGACGTAAATATCATTAGCCTTTTCGAAAATCTTCCCCAGAGCTGGTAGGAGGGATATGGGTCTGCAGCTATGGGGTTCTGCGAGAGCCTTCTTCGATATAGTTGGGAAGTGTCCTACCACTATTGCAAGGTTAAACACTCTCCTGATATAGTTGGGTTTTGGGCGAGAAATGTTCTACAGCGTTCGGTAGGTTATGCCGTCAGTTCCTGGTTACGAGGTGTTTGTTAAAGAATGGCGAATGTAAGATTATTTTCCGCCGGAGCAGCGAGGAGTGTCTGGAGTTCTTCTTCGACTTGTCAATTGTGTTTCTCGGAAGTGGTGAAGTTCTCGCGAAGAGTTCTCCCTTCTCCCTTGAGTCGTAGCAGTTGCCATTGGGCCCTCTCAGAAAATAAGCCGGCGGTTTTATGGAGACGATTTGGCAAACGTTTTCGCATCGGGTCATGGTTCCCTCAACGTGCTCGTTTCAGGACACGTTGTTATAGTCCTGGATGGCGATTTTGAGGGCGGCTTGCTTGGCGTTGACCTGTCTGCCGAATCCTGATGTCCGGATCTCGGCTGAGTTGCCATCTCCGAACAAGTCTCCTTTTCTCTCTGATTTCTTTCTTGAGATACTGAGCGAGCTGGTCGCCTTCGTGGCCGGGACTGACTTGGTTACCGCGGCTAAGGTCTGTTGTAGCTTGGTCGACAGTAGATGTACCCTTTCCTCTAGGTCGGCCGGGATGCGGATGTCCGGATTTCCGAATGAGATATTTCGCTGGAGATTTTCATTAAATTTTTTCCTATTCGTGATCTTCCTGATACTCGGGGGTACTGTGACGCACGGATTTGTGTGGAGAGTCATTATGATGTAACGTCGAGGATGTCTGGTTAGAGCCTCAGGTCCCACCGGTGGGTGGTCGGGAGCCATGACATCGTATCCGATCCTTCAATGATCGTCCGGAGGTATTGATCGTCGCGGAGCCCCACCTGGGCTGTTTCGCGTTTAAGTCTCCTGCAAGGACGGTGTGGTCTACAAGTACCACAATGTCGTTGAGGTCTTGCGGGACGAGGTTGTTGCGTGGACTGCGGTAGGTCACTACGAGGTTGCTGGTAAAATCGCCCAATTTGGTTTTGATGCCGGTGCCTTCACGGGGTTTGCAAGGTAACTTAATGAAGTTTCGTATCTCATCGACATCGATGACTGGATTATCTTCTGGGTAGCTTATTGCTGTCGCGGCGTGGCGGCGACAGTGGAAGATGTAGAAGCGGCGATATTTAAGTACGAATATGACGTATGGATGGTCGTGGTGGTTTCCATACCGGTGTACATTCATCTTCCGTCTTTTCGTCTCTTTCGGTGGTGGCGGTGCCGGTCGGTTAGGGGATGGTACCTTAAATGCCTGCAATGGTGGCGGCGTATGTGCTGGTGAGGGGGGAGACCGCTCATTATTTTGTTTATTTTATTTATCGCTTTTATTTTTAAGTGTGCGGGATTTCACCCAAGGCTGATCTACCAACCCAACCCACTATACATTTACAAACATCCATGCCCGAACCTGGAATCGGGAACCCTAAGTATCGGAATTGAGCTTTCACTCGAGTACGCCACACGGCCTTGCAATTCATACACAAAAACAAAACGTATTGGTGATTCGTTTATGTTCTGTCTATGTTTCTACCATATTATCTCTTTCAATAACTCATGTTGTTTCCTTCAAATGCTCACTGTCTTTTTTCAGTCAAGTATGACGTGGCGACGTTGTCTCCTATAGCGAGAATAATATAATTCATCGACCAACTCGTTTGTAAGGATTTCGCTCTGTGAGGATGTTTCTGTCATCTTCTGTACTTAGATATACTTACATAATTCTGAAACAATATGTGGATACATCAATAAGTATTTCACAGTCTTAAAGAATGGCCATATATCTGCATGCAGTCAAAAAAAGATTCAAATCCAAATAGGATATTAATAGACAGGATAGATAAAGTGATCACTTTAACCGTAAGGGTAGATAAAGTGAAACAAATGATTGTGCATTCTAATGACATCTGTCATTCTTATTTCAAAAACACGATATAAACTGACGTCCAGAACATATAACTGATATAACAAACATAGAAACGATCATGACGGAAAAACTTAAGCTTACTATTTTTGACGTCCCTAAATTAAATTCAGAATTGTCAGAAGCTTTACAATGATTTATATGGCTTCTGCTATAAAATTAACTAAAATAATAATTGTCAATTTTTTTATTTTCACTTATGTCATGCTAAAAGTTTTATTATTCGCACTGCATGTATATCTACTTAATTTTGTCCTATTCTGTAAAAATAAAGTTTTGTATTATACACGGCGATAAAGGGAAACTAACCATCTCGTGAAAGTTAATTCACTCAATGGTGAAAATATCCATTTATCGTCTTGTATAATAAATAACTATTGTTTCTTAAAATATCCTCGTACAGATAGTAGGCTTGAGTCAGTTTATTAGCCATAAACGCCCGCATTTAGAGCGTGTGGGATTTTACCAAGATAGGAAACTGGCGAGCTTCATCGGTGTCGTCTAGACGAAGTCTAGATAATGAACAATCGGGTCTGCGATTAGCTTAGAAAGGACGCTGTCCTAAGATTTGCATTGGATTCGTTTCGTTCTCGAACAGTAGCTAATAAATTCCACATTTTAAGTTATTTCCTTATTCCCATAGTTTGTAGTATTTTTTGAAATAAAAATGTATAATTTATAAACATTACTTTCTTAAACATGGTTTAAAAATCTAGTTATTTAAAAATAAATAGTTCTTAAATAAACAATTGTTACAAATGAACGAACACATTTTAGGGAGTATTAACGTTATACTCCATAATCAGTTAGCTTCTTACAGAAGAGTTTAGTAAGTTTTTCAAATAAGATATCTGACAGGATCGCTTCATGTGTACGTCGTCTAAATAAATTTAAACTGTAATTTTCTAATTGGTAATAAGCGTCAGGGATCTTCAACTCTTCGTACATTTTCCGAACTTTTACTACACTATCCTTATCCTTTTTTCCATAATTTTCTTCCAGTACCTTTCTTTGTGACGCATTAGCTCGTTTTAACGCTGTAACCATTAACCACGTACACTTCGCTTCCTCTATGTCCGTTCCTAATTTACCAGTGATCGAAGAATCATCAAAACAGTCCAAGAAATCGTTCTACAAAAGAAAAGGTAAATATTTAAACAAAAGGGAACGATCGCACATACTTGGACTTGAAAGAAGAAACCCAGTTCATTCAAAACGGCCAAATCGGATTTAATAACGTTTAAATCAACTTTGTCTGCTAAATGCATAGCTAACATAACTGGCAGCAGGACTGTGTAATAGCTAGTTTTATACTTCGCAATTGCGTTGTATCTACTCGAAGAAAAGAAGTTTAGATCACATATTCCATTTTTTTGTGTAGGGCGTTCGGTGTCCAACGTTTGACCTAACACACTCATAACAGATGCCAAGTGAAATACTTCCATTGCCTGAACGTAGCACTTGTGATGTGAAAAAAACTTTTTTAATACTTGAAAGATGAAATTCTGTAACGTGAATCCATCGAGTATGGCATTCATTCCAATACCTTCAAGTAGGTACCAACAAGGCGATCCTCTTCTTTGTAGTGAACCGTCCTGAATATCGTCGATGATCAAATAAAATCCATTTAGCTAAAAATTAACATAATCATTTTTAGTTGCGATTGGATACTTATACTTGAAATTATGAGGTTTAGATATTGGTATTCGTTATTGCCCGTATTATTAGTAGTTCACCAAAGTATGTAATTTTATGTGTTTTAGTGTATGAACGTATCCGTAAGAAATGGGGCCTGTTTTTTTTGAGAAATATTCAATTAGTTCCCCAATATATGAGTTGCGTGCATTCTATTTGACACTGCTTATTGAACGGTGTAACGAAATTTTCATGTACAGAAAAATTTAAATTAACAGGAATGCATACTAGTGGGCAGATAATGGCAAGTATCTTTCAGATGATACAAGCATGAAATGTGGTTTGAATGGTCCCTTAAAGATACTGTTTTATAAATAAATGCTCGCCACTTAAAAATGTAATATGGACGCCGTTTTCCAAGATGGCGGCATATATTAAACATTATTAGTGGTACTAAAGTCTCTTTCCAATGATGAGATTACCATGAAATTTGGTATGAACGTTTCTATAAGAGTATTGTTTTATATGAAAACGCTGGCCATTTAAAAAGCTTAAAAAGTTTTTACATATCACTAATAATAGTTGATACTTGCATGATCTGTGACGACATCCTGGAAAACAACTGCGAAAGATCGATCTGAATAAGGCATAAAGGTGCAAAGGAATTGTGTTAAAATCGCTTAGCTAAGATAACAAACACATTTTAATTATAACTAGGACAAAATAACGTCATAATAAGGATACGTTAATAGATATGTCTGGGCCAGACCATTCATTTTGTAGTTGGTAGAGAAAATTCCCCCCGGTTTGTGCAAATCAACCTATTTCGATGAGACCGTTTGTTACAATAGGTACAATGAAGGTTAGAATGTGTGTTCACGCACCCCCCTCCCATTTTATTCAAAACTTTTATTTGGCACCACTAAAGGTATGTATGGTATGGCGAACGGTTGCTTTTTCTTCATCTTTCAGCCGCAGCTTTACGGTAAAGCTGTGGTCCTGTTCCTGCGATAGGACTGCGTGTTAGGTTTGGATTTCTTCAATTTCCCAGAATCTTATCAGCGCGCCGTAATGGACATATGGGAATCCCAGATCTCCGTCTTTTTTTAAATTAACACATTTGCTGGAACTTTCTTCATCAATTTCGGCTCGTGTGTTCTGAGTAGGTTTCATAAGTCGATCAAATCTCATTTGCTGTCTACGGAAGTCTGGGTGGGTGTGACCCAGGCTGGGTAGGGAAGATATTTCTTGCAAATCTCACCCATTGGCTGGCTATGTGGGCGATTGGGGGTGCGTTTGTTCCAATCGCTGTCCCCTTTGTCTCTGTCTCAATTTGGGATGTTGTCTCGTTCGGACTCACCGGAGCTGTTGACAGGGCGAAGTGTGAGCGCTTGGCGTAGTAACCGTGTCCTCGCTCTTGTGGCAGGACCACGATCTGTGAGTGTGAGTTAAAAAATTATAGGAAAATTTGGATTGTATATTCCTAAAGGAAACCATCTATGGGAAAAAGCCGTTTGTATTGCATGTATTTTATATTTGATGAACTCACTGATATTGGGATTAGAAAAAATAGTTATCAATTAATTTTAATTAAAAAAAAACTCCACAAGAATGAGTTCAATTTGATGAATTATAAGGTACTCGTATATTTTAGATGAAATGTATTGCTGTAGCCTGTTATTATACTCAGGATTCAGTTAGCATACCTTCTCACAAACATCACTTATGATTAAATCCTCACTTATTGTAACGAATTCAAAATTGTTTTTATGAAACAGCGCCACGTGACCTCCTCATTTTCACGTGAGATCCATTCTAATTTAGGGTAACCTGAAGAATTATTAACCAGGTTTCGGTGATACCTACAATGTCAAAATGCTTTTTTTTAAATAATGTAATTTAATGAAGGCAATAATACAAAATCTACGCTTATCTCTGAAACAGTTCATTTGTGGGCCTATGTTTATTAAGACCTTTTTGCTTCTTTTCATGAGTACAATACGTAGATAAAATATCCTTTTTTTTAAACACCTTTTCGGCCAAAGAAATAAGAAAGAGAAGGTTTGAATAAATGTAAATGTCAATGTACAAAAACAATGATGCAATGCACTGTTTATCAACAATAACAAAAAGTTTACCCATAATAACACAAAGGGTACAATGCAACACTGAGATATCGGTGTCATCATTCGGTCAAGCCTTTATCAACACAGATACTGTCAATTCCTCATTCATAATTAAAACCTGTTTTCCTAAGGTCTAAAAGACTTCGGCTCGCTTATGAGACTTATGGACGGTTGCATCCACTTTTTGGGTTTGCCTAATCGATGAGTCTGCATGCACTAGCTCAATAAGTGCGTAAAAAACGGAATAATAATAATAATAATAATAATAATAATAACCGCCATGAAGAGACCTTTGTGCCTGCTTCTCAACCGCTTGTGGATGGGACCAGCGCAAAGGATACCTCCAAAAGACGTATGAAATGGGACGAAGGGATGAATCGCTTCATTTTCGGTACGTATCTGGAGATCACGAAGATGGAAACGGACAGGACAGCATACAGAGGTAAACTATATCACGCGTTCATTACACAATACCCACATTTAGCACACTTAACAGAACAACGCATTGCAGACCAACGTAGAGTTATCATTAAAAATACACTCCTTACATTAGACACACAGGAACAAATCAGGCACGAAATTGAAGCACTACTCAACACAAACAACACACTCATCGTACAAGATAATACACCCGTTCTAAACAACTCTGAAATACAGATATTTGCGACACCCCAGCAATCGATAGATACAAATAATCACATAAACCAAACACTCACATCCCTTCAAAAAGAATTTGACAATGCATTGTTAGAATTCTCAAACACTGACCCAACACAAAGAGCACGAATACCTAAACAAAGTCACACTACAAAATTACGCACACTCTCAAAAACACTAAATGATCACATTTTACCAAATTACATTAACGATAACACAAGCTTACATCAACTACACTTTGTTGTGTATTGCGGTGCGGTTGCAGTTTCTAGATGTAACGGTTCAAGAATAACAACAAACAAAGAACACCACACAACAAAAAAGCGCTCACCCCCGGCTTGGGAAAAACGCCTGATTAATCGCATCGATGACATCAGACGTGACTTGGGTCGAATTACACAATACATACAAGGAACTCGTTCTTCAAAATTAACACGACAAGTACAACACATAACTACAAAACTAAACAATCACACCATACGAGAACAAAATACAAACTATAACAAACATAGAGATACACTCACACAAAAACTATCAATATACACAAACCGTTTAAAACGCTATAGGGAAACTGCAGACAGAAAGCGCCATAACACACAATTTAAACATAACGAAAAACTATTTTACAGATCACTAACACAAAACAGCACTCATTCCACCATCTCTACACTCACTTCAGCAATACTGGTTTGACTTATGGACCAAAGACATTAAACACAATCCACACGCCCCGTGGATTACCACAGAAACCACACGCACTGAATACATTACTCCTATGAATAACACAAACATCACTACAACAGACATCATTCAAACTATTAATCACTTACATAACTGGAAAAGTCCAGGCATTGATAACATTCACAACTTTTGGTGGAAATATTTTACCTACACTCACTCTTACCTTGCGCAACAATTTACTGAACTTCTTAATTCACCAGATCGCACTCCTGCATTCTTTACACAAGGTATCACTTACATGCTCCCAAAAGACAACAATACACAAGACCCATCTAAATATAGACCAATTACATGCCTTCCTACAATATACAAAATCCTTACATCATGCATTACAAACAAAATATACCAACACTGTACTGATAACAACATTTTATACGAAGAACAAAAAGGGTGTACCAAGTGTTCCAGAGGCTGTAAAGAGCAACTCATTATAGACTCTGTAATACTTGAACAATCCAGACATAACAAACGAAACATACACACTGCATACATTGATTACAAAAAAGCATTCGATTCAGTACCACACTCTTGGTTACAACAAGTACTCTCAATATACAAAGTCAGCAACAATATTACACAATTCCTCAATTACATAATGTCATGTTGGAACACTACGTTAACACTTACACTAAACGACACAAAACTTATTACTGACCCAATACAAATTAAAAGAGGCATTTTTCAAGGCGATTCTTTAAGTCCGCTTTGGTTTTGTCTTGCTCTTAATCCACTTTCATATTTGTTAAACACTACTAACTTTGGGTACAATATTAAACACAACCACGAAATACATCACAACATTACACACCTGTTTTACATGGACGATCTTAAATTATACTCTTCCACAAGCATAAAACTTAATCACCTTCTACACATTACCGAAACATTCTCACGTGACATACAAATGGACTTTGGAATTGATAAATGTAAAACACAACACATCACAGCTGGTAAAAGACAACTTTTAGATTATGAGCTAGAACAGGGTAATTTAATAAATTCCATGGACGAGAATGAAACTTATAAGTATCTTGGTTTTCAGCAAAATACACATATTAAACATACGAGTATAAAACAAACACTTATCACACAATACCTACAAAGAGTACGCAGTATACTTAAAACAAAATTACACGGTAGAAATACAATCAAAGCTATTAACACTTATGCCATACCAGTGCTTACATACTCTTTCGGGATTATACGTTGGACAAATACAGATTTAGAACAAATACAGAGAAACACACGTACACTATTAACAAAACACCATATACATCACCCTCACTCCTCCACTATACGACTTTACCTTCCTCGTTCGGAAGGAGGTAGAGGACTTACAGATATAAAACTATTACACCAAACACAAATACACAATTTACGACAATACTTTTATAACAAATCAGATACTTCAGTCTTACACAAAACAGTAACATATGCAGACAAATCTTACACACCACTTAACCTACACGAAACTAATGTACTCCCACCCACATCCAAACTTACATACATCACAAATAACATACAGACATGGAACCAAAAGCCTTTACATGGACGATTTCCACAAGAGGTTGGCCAGGATTGTGTTGACTCTATAGCAACGCACAGTTGGTTGTCTGAATGTGATGTCTTCCCGGAGACTGAGGGGTTCATGTTAGCAATACAAGACCAGGTCATTAACACACGCAACTATAAAAAACACATACATAAAGATAAAACAGTGACAAATGATTCTTGTCGACTCTGTTCACAAACATCAGAAACAATCCAACATATAATATCGGCATGCACACGACTTGCACAAACTGAATACAAACATCGACACGATCAGGTAGCTAAAATCATACATCAAAAATTAGCACTTAAACACAATCTCATAACAGATACGACACCATACTACAAATACACGCCACAGATCATACTCGAAAACAACACACACAAATTATATTGGGACAGGACACTACTCACAGACAAAACTATCCACAATAATAGACCAGACATTACACTTATAGATAAAACACAAAAATCCATTTGTATTATAGACATTGCCATCCCCAACACTAACAACTTAACTAAAACACATGCAGAAAAACACCGCAAATACACCGATATAGCTATCGAGCTTAAGACGCAATGGAGAATGAAATCTACTGTTATAGTTCCCATTATTCTTAGTGCTACTGGAGTTATACCAAAGACAATACACCACAATTTACAACTATTAGGTTTAGACAAAAACACATACAAACATTTACAAAAAGCAATCATTATCAACACATGCCATATTGTTCGTAAATTTCTAAACATAACACAAGATACTACATACAGAAATGATCCACAACGTATACATGTAAACAACAGTACTCGCTCACAACACGGTACACAACATACTGTAATATCTCCACCTCTAACCCAAACAAGCACACAAATACAACTTACCGAACAAACAAGTACAACAAATGATACAACATATACTACAATCAGAGATTCACCTCTGAAGCAAACCACATTATCACAACCCATTAGTATTCAACCCAAACGCAAAAGCCTAAACAGCACTTTAGACTCACAACATGACACACAACATACTGTAATATTTCCAAACTTAACTCAACCAACCACACAAACACAACTTCCTGAACAAACAAACGCAATAAATACAAGTAACGCAACACGCACTACAAAGACGCCCTCACCCACACGACCTAGCACAGCTGAAAAACACAATACTCTTTCTTCTCAGAAACACACCACGTTATCACAAACACAACCCACTCGTACTCAACCCAAACGCAACAACGTTAACACAGGCTCACAAAATACTGTAATGTCTCCACCAATAACCCATGCAACAACAGAAATACAACTTCAAGAACAAAGAAACACCATAAATACAAGTAACGCAACATGCACTACAAAGACAGGTCCATCCAATAAAGTTACACGCCCTAGCACATTTAAAAAAACACAAAACTCCTTCTTCACAGAAACACACCACATTTTCACAACCCACTCGTATTCAACCGAAACGCAAAAACCTTAACAGAACTACAGGCTCACAACATACTAAAATATCTCCAGCAAAAACCCAAGCAACCTCTCAAATACAACCTCAAAAACAAAGAAACACCATAAATACAACTAACGCAACATGCACTACAAAGACAGGTCCACCCAATAAAATTACACGCCCTAGCACAGTTAAAAAACACATCACTCCTTCTTCACAGAAACACACCACATTTTCACAACCCACTCGTATTCAACCGCAACGCAAAAACCTTAACAGAACTACAGGCTCACAACATACTAAAATATCTCCACCAAAAACCCAAGCAACTTCACAAATACAACCTCAAGAACAAAGAAACATCATAAATACAAGTAACGCAACATGTACTACAAAGACATGTCCACCCAATAAAGTTACACGCCCTAGCACAATTAAAAAACACATAACTCCTTCTTCACCGAAGCACACCACGTTATCACAACCCACTCGTATTCAACCCAAACGCAAAGCCAAAGAAACACTTACACAATAAACTCCATTTAATAAAATTACAGGAATTATTATAATGATTTTGTTTTGTTTTGTTTTCCTCTTTCCTGATAGCGTTGGCTATTGTGCCCATCAATAGGTATGTTGGTAAGTACGAATTACATTATCCCTAGATGTCCAATGTACGTGTGTGATTTTTTTTTTTTTTTTTAATGACCCTACATAACTTCACCAGACACAGACACTAATCGTTACTTGATTTTAATCCGTGCGATTAGTTAACCAGGCTAGACCTGAGCTCTCACAAGAAACACCGACCATAATAATAACTTTTTTTTAACGCATTCAATTTAAAAATTGTTTGGTTACGTCACATTCACAATAGGTACTAACACAAAAAAATCATGTCTGTGCATGTAGGGGCAGCCATGTACTCATCAATACTGTAAAAACAGTTCTTTAATAAAAATGTTTTGATTTGTATTTTAAACAAATTTAGTGGCAGAGATTTTAATTTATTATCGACTTTGTTGTAAAGTGCAACATTCAATGAGTTTTTTGTTGATACGCATAGTCTACGTTTTACGGGTAAAAGTAACTTACAGTGACGAGTGGCATAACCGTGATTGCTCGTGTCTGACACATTCTTGTTTGAATTTACTAATTTATGAATATGGATTAACGTTTGGTAAATATACAGTGAGTTTTTTTTAAATGCGAACATAGGAGTTTGCATGCAATGTAATTTCTCTATGTTCGATTTTTAAAAAAACACATCAATCTATGAGGTGTGCGCGGTTCACATTCCCACCAGTAAAACGCGCAACTTGTGTGACTATGAACAGCAACTCTACAGTCTTTATGATGAAGAGCACTCGGTAAGATTTTTTTAAAGAAGCCATGTGAGGCCATAGCAACTTTAGGACACATTTTTCTTAAATTTACGATAACTTGACCTCACAGGCCACGCACTGACACCACAACTCATTGTGAACCAACCTTCAATTATTTGTAGGTCATGTGCACCTGGTATTCTACTAATTTGATCTATTCAATACATAAATGAAGAAAATAAGAAAATAAATAACGAAAACAATTACAATAAATGTTCGAAGTGTCCTCCTTGACATTCTAAGCAATAACCTAACCGATTTCGTAATTAAATTGGACGGCGGTATTTTTAAAAATGTGACAGCTGTCAATTGTATCTACTACTCATTTGAACTACTCAATAGATTGATGTGTTTTTTTAAAAATCGAACATAGAGAAATTACATTGCATGCAAACTCCTATGTTCGCATTTAAAAAAAATTCACTGTACAGCATGGTAGTGGCATAATTTTAAGTTTTTTAAATATATCCCTGCAAGGATCCCTAAAACCACGGAAAGCGATGATCCTAATAGCTTTCTTTTGCATTCTGAAGACGCGCAAGGAATGAGGGGATCTGCCCCAGATAGTTATACCATAGCTAATTCTAGAATGTACAAACGCGAAGTAGCTTGATCGTAGGACATCATGATTTAAGGATTGTCTCAGTCTAATTAGCAAATACGTATTCGATGCTAGAACTGTACAGAGTTGATCTACATGGGCCTCCCAAGATAATTCATTATCAAGTGTTATTCCCAGTAATTTTGCAGACGTTCTCCTAGCAATGGACTTGGTTGTGGTAAAATGTATATTTAGGGTTTTATCTGAATTATGTTTAAGTTTATTACATTCCAACCATTGCTGTAGTTGGGTGTTCACGTTGGCAATATAATCGGTTAGAGTATTTATGACAGGGGAACTGCACAAGATCGTTGTATCGTCTGCGAATTGAATGCATTTACCAATGCTGATTGCGTTAGGTAGATCATTCACGTATATCAAAAATAAGGTGGGCCCCAAGACCGATCCTTGTGGAACGCCAAGTGTTATTTCCTTTAGACTTGAAGATTTGTTATTAAAGCTAACACATTGAGAACTGCCTCTTAAGTACGAATCCAATAATTTCAATGGTATTCCCCGTATACCATAATGATGCAGTTTTTCTAGGAGTATTGAGGGTGTAACGCAGTCAAAGGCTTTCGTTAAGTCATATAAGAGGGCACACGAATAATGACGATTTTCAAAAGCCTCGACTACGCCATCAACAAGACTACTCACAGCTTGTGTGGTTGATAAACCTGTCCTGAAGCCAAACTGAGTTTCATTCAGCACATGGTTTTTACTTAAGAACGTAACTAAACGATTTTTGATTAAAATTTCGATAACCTTCCCAAAAATAGGAACAATGGATATTGGTCGGTAGTTGCTGACCAGGTCCTTACTGCCCTTCTTAA